ATGTTCTGTGGGTTTTTTTGTTTGTTTGTTTGATAACTGTTTTCATTAAACAGTTTTTACCCCAGAATAGATGCTCTGGGCAGCTAATAGTGAAAATATAAAATCACACAGCATCCTCTATAATCTTCAATACACACACACACACACACACACACACACACAAAAGTAAAAAGAAAAAGAGAGCCAGGAAATATAATATCTCCCAATGGTCAGGCATTGAGCCAGATTTGAGGGATTAATTGTGTATTTTTTTGCAAGGAAGACAGTTAAACAGTTCTTTAAGAAGTGTTGAAAGATAGCCATTAGAACCAGTGATTTCTCATGATGTAGTTTCCCAGGGTCTGCTAAATATTTCTTGTTACCACAATCTCTTTGAGTTTTCCCCTGAGAAAATCAATACAGGTTCATCTATCTGTTCTACCTACCTCCCCTGCAGTAGAGAGCAATATAAAGAATTAATTCGGTTTCTGTTCACATTCTAGATCAGCGGCCCCCAATCTCTCCGGTTCCATGGAGAAAAGTTTTCTGGGGACCGGAGAGGGCGTGGTGTTATGTGCTGTCTGCATCCTGTGGATGCGGCTTAGCTTATTTGCATGGACCGGTTTCTGGCATGCCGCACACCAGTGGTGGGATTCATAATGTTTTACTACCAGTTCTGTGGGCATGGCTTGGTGAGTGGGGCATGGCTTGGTGGGCGTGGCAGGGGAAGGATACTGTAAAATCTTCATTCCCACCCCACTCCAGGGGAAGGTTACTGCAAAATACCCATTCCCTCCCGATCAGCTGGGACTCGGGAGGCAGAGAATAGATGGGGCGGGGCCAGTCAGAAGTGGTATTTACCAGTTCTCCGAACTATTCAAAATTTCCACTACCGGTTCTCCAGAACTGGTCAGAACCTGCTGAATACCACCTCTGCCGCAGACCGGTGCCAGTCCATGGACTGGGGGGGTTTGGGATCCTGCTGTACTTCTTTGAGCATCCATTGTAATTTTTTATTGTCTAATAATAGCCCAACTATTTTCTAGCTGATTTTCTGCTTCAAGGGCATTTAAAGGAGTCTTTTCATTTCCCTTTCCTTTGTATTCCTTATCTCTTTCCCTTTTTTTCTGCTGGAATTTGTGCTCTTTTTAGTTTTCCTATTAAGACGGGAGTAGCATTTTCTAAAATAAGCT